TTCACTCTGCAACTTTTAAGAGAAATGAAACCAAAAGCTGCAGGAATTTGTTCCAAGAAATAGGATGAGTTTCACTGAGGGTGATGGTGCCCTTCTATTCAATGGTGTTTTGTTGTGGCTCCCTCCTGGTCTTAATTCATACATACCCAAGTAGTTAATAGGTCACTTGGAAAAAATTATATTTGCATAGTAGGTGGGCTCTGAAGTAACAAGTAGCAGGCAACCTCAAGGATACACATTTCTGCTCTTAGTGTAAAACCTGCATCTTCCTTCCCTGGCAATTTAGCTCATGGAAAAGTGCCTAGCCGTGTGTGCGCCTGCACGTTCATCAGATGAACAGCATACTAGAGAGTGTTTTATTCCCTGATTCTTCTTCAGATGGATGCTGCACCCTTGGACAGGTAGGAGAAAGTGGAGATGTGTGAATGTTAACCAGTGGCAATTCGGAAAGTTGGCCGGGCATGGTTGGGTGACAGTGTTCCTAAAGATCCATGCAAATCAGCATCACTGAACAACATTCCCTCAAAATGCAAGGAGAAACAGAAAGACTTTCCTGACTCTCTTTCATCATATGTCTTTTCACATCAGTTCACCCTGGGGTACTTTCAGGTCCTTTAGCAACTGGCAGATTGGGAAGCTAGGCCTTTCCTGCAAAAGTCAAGGTACCTGCTCCACAAAAACTCACCAAGAGCAGCTGTCACTTTGAAAGGGAGAGCTGGCATATGTGCGAGCTGTTTTTCTCCAGTTTGGTGCCAAATGCAGAATGGGGACAACATCCAGTCTTATACAAAATGGAATTAGCAATACTGTTCTCAGAAGGTATAAAAGACTGAGGCACAGCACAGGTTTGTTCATTCAGAAACCACCTCCAGGGAAAAAAGAGTCTCAGAAACCTGATTTCTTCCTTTTTTTTTTTTTTTTTCCTTTTTTTTTTTAAATTACAGTGGGTGTGAGTTCCCAGATAAACAAGACTGAACATCAGTGTGCTGGGAACAGCCGATATACCTACTGCTGCTGCCACCATCCAGGTTATCTATGTCAGCTCAGAGCAGGAGGGCACAGTCCCACAGCAGCAAGGGAGCTCTGCCCACCCAGCCCAGGCACAGAGCCTCATCCCTTCCCTGGCACCAGCACTGTGGCTTGGTGTACACTGTGCCAAGCATTTGCTGGGCAAAAAGTAAATCCGTGGTTTTCTGCTGCTTTATCTGCTCCACTGGGGATTTGGTCACCCAACCTTCTTGTGCGAGCATGTGGGAAAAAGCAGGTCACCACCATCCTTAAGCTGCCAAGGAGCTGAAGGGCATTTGCAGATCACAGATGTATTTAGAGCATGCCTTGCAGTACAAAGGCCCAAATAGGCAGAGGTAAACATAAGAGAGAGGAGAGAGAGGTGCCCTTGGATCAGGACAAGCTACAGCAACTTCGGCCCAGCTACAGAAACTTCATCTGTCAGTTAAGGCAGGAGAAGAAGGTGTGCAACAGATGCTCCTCCTAAATGGTTGCACTTTTGAGGTCCAGTATACAGCCTGGCTTTGTGTGAGCTCTAATCTTCTCCAGATTGATGCCACCTTGGCCCTGACCTTATCTGGTGAGAGTGTCAGCATGCAGGATCAGTCCATGTAGTCACCCTGTCTTGTGTTCTCACAGCCGACAGTATCACCGGGAAACTTTTCTGTCATCAGAGAAATAATGAGGCTTTCTCATTGCCTGACATGTGGGAGTATTTACTCACAGCAGCAGAGGAGAGAGGTGGCTGAAGGTGTGGTTTGAATCTAGAAAGTCTGGCAAAACTGCTGGGAAGTGGTGATGGCTGATCCCTGCCCTAGTCACAGAGAGTGATCTCAGATGTGAGGGTTTGGCTCCACTGTGTAGCCAAAGGAAAACCTCTGGTCACTTGCATCTCTGGTGTTGGTTTGTTTTTAGTTTGGTTGATTGGGGTTTTTTTTGCATGCAAAGGAGAATAATTGTTCCTTCTTACTTGTGGGGAGACCTCAGAGTGATCAGAGAGACAGAACGGCAACTATTATCCTCTCTATAAAAACTATCTAGAATCAGGAAGTGAACCAAGGATTAAAATGAGCATGGTGCTTGCCCTCCTTTTTTTTCCTTGCCCCTTTGTGCTGCAGGAGGGTAGATGATAGGCCTGGGCTGCACAAGCAAGGCAGCATCTGTTCTCAGGGTGCTGCGGTATTTGTATGACCCTGGCGTCTGCTGGTATGCCAAAGGCCTGGGAGGAGCAGCAAAACAGGAGTTAAAATATCAGTGCGGGTGCAGCAAGCGGGAAGGCCAAAAACAGCCATGAAATCCAGGAAAGAGAACAGATAACAGCAAGGAAACGGCAGGTGCTGGGTGGAGGGGTGACGACACCAAGGCCACTCCACCGATAAGGCCACCGCACAGACGTGAGTGACGTGATGCAATCTGATTTGGACCCCTGCCATCTGTGCCCACTCAGATGGGAAGGCTGCAAACAGAGCTGCAGTCTCCTGGGAGGGCAAAGGTGTGATAAAGGCTCACAACGGGACAAGTGATCCCAGGTCAGTGCGTGGACATGGACTGGTGGGTGCCAGGGAGTGTGGGGGAACAAGCACAAAGGCAGGGGCAGCGCCACAAGTGAACAAGGATGAGACTGGTTTTGGAAGTAGAAGTCTCCTTCCTTGTTGCCACTGTCTCCAGCACAGTTTATCTGCCTCGCTGGTGACAAGACTGGGACCTTCATACCTGCCTCTCATACGCATCTTGCTGGCAAAAGTGCAGAGAGAGCCAGCTGGAGATACCTGGCTAATATGAGGGCAAGCAGCCACCAGAAAACCTCCTGTCTCACGCAAAGAAGAGTTTCCCCACCTCTTCTTCGGCAGGGACAGTAGGCAGGACTTTTTTTAGGGATTTCAAGCTTGTGCTTGCAACAGAGAGAAAAGCCTGAAAAGACAAAACCAGTTTGCAAGAGATGATTTCCCCTTTGTTATCTCTTAGCGTGTCATTTTAATTTGCTCTGTGAAGGCAGTGGCATTTCAATATCACTGAGGAACCAAGTGAAGGAAGATCAAGCCCCATATCAGGCAACAGCTTTTCCACAGCACTGCTGATCTCCAGCACAGAGAAGAAACAGATGTTTTCTGCTTCCCTCCATCCAAGGAAAGTGATCTGGAGCACACAGTATGTTCCAGCAGCACAGCCCCAGCTTGTTGCTCCAGTGCTGCTGCTGACATGATCCAAAGAACCAGGCCATGCTTGGGGCTGGAGGCACAGCAAGGTTCTTTGCATCAGCGGCATCAGAGGCATTACAATCAGCATTTGGGTGGGGATTTTGGTAGTAAAGGTTTTGAAGAAGACTGTAAAGACTCATGATAGCCCTCATCCAGGGCTGTGTGTTGGTATGGGAGCAGTTTGCAGGAGGTGGCTCCATGTTGATCATGTAGCTGAGTGTTGGTGAGGACCAGATTTGCAAGATGGGAATCGAAGGAAATACATGCATGTGTGCTGGAGAGGGACATCTGCCAGTGCCATGGGCCCAGCATGCTGGTGGCATGGCCCTTCAGGGCTCACCCTCCAAGCCTTGTGCACAGCAGGGTTTGGTCAGGGCATCCATAGCCTTATACATGGCCCACTGAGGATGGAGATCTCCCACCTTCCTGCTGGTATGGGTTGTTCAGCCTCCGGGGTAAGGTTTCTTCCCTGACTTCTCACCTGAATATCTCAGGCCTGAAGTTGCTTTTTATTCTGTCATCTGGCACTACCAAGAAGAGATTGGCTCCATCAACTTCCCTTTCAGCTGTTGTAGGCTGCTATCAGATCCCCCTTGGCCTCCCTTGTACTAGACTAAACAAGCCCAACAGGACCCCATGTGCCTCAGGAAAAACTGCTAATGCAGTTAAATATTTACTTTAGTTGAGGGATTTCCAAAGTGGAATAATAATAAAAGCCAAAGGTTATTGAACTGTGTAAACTCCATGAAGAGGGAATATGAAACATGTGCACAGCTGCCTCAGCAGAGTGGAGTAATGGTTCTGCAAGAGGAACCCTGAACTGGTCACCTTCTCCCTTCCCAAAACCTGGGCACAGCCCTACTGGCTTGCGAGGAAGGGCGTCCCAATGGCAAGGACATGAGCAGCCTCATGCAGGGCCCACACCTCTCTGGCCATGAGGGATGCTTACCAAAGTGTTCCCTTTTGTCTCAGACAGACAAGGGCAGCCTGTATCTTCCCGTGGGAAAGAGATGTCCAAAGCACAGTCATGGTCAGATCCTCAGCAAATGCAAATATTTGGTCTCTATGTGCCTGGAGCTCTCCAAGCCTGCTGGTGGTTTCTTTAGGACACCTACCCCATGTCCACCCACTCCAAGTCCCCCCTTTGCACACATGGCACATCCTACCTGCTCCCATGGGCAGGCTCCCTTTGTCCCTTCAGGCCCAGACCTCATCTCAGCAAGTCTGTCCCAAGGGATTTTTTTAGTCAACACTGACTTTATGCCCAGCAGTCCTCTTTCCCATCCTTCACCCTTCACCACTTGATTTTGTTTCATCAAAGGAAGATTGGGATAGATGTGGAAAATTCAGCTTCTGAGAAAGAGATAATAAGGATGCTCAAACAGAAGGACTGGCATCAAGCATCCAGTCTGGGAGGCAAAGCAGCTGGGCTCTTCTGGGGTGGTGATGCGTGTTGAAAAGACTGTATGTCTTACCACCAAGGATCCTCTCCAGCCTCTCTGTCCCCTCTGTGCTCTGTGTGCCTCCTCTGTGTATTTAATCTGTGCATCCATGCACACAGCTCCTGTCCAACACACTGAATAATTTTGCTCTGTCCAGTACCGTCACCTGAAGTTGGCAAGTGGCACAGTGGGAAGCTTATCAGTTGCATGAAAGTGCCCAAGTGATCCATCCCTCTGGGTGTACAGTCCAGCTGTTACCAGCACAGACCAAAATGCTGCTTTTCCCAGCACTCCTGAGATAAGCTGGTGCCCTCCCCTATAAAGGCAGCCAGAGTGAGGTGCCCAAGCGTGTCTGCCTGAGCTGACCATGGCTGTGAGGGACCTGGTGCTGGTGGCGGTGGCGGTGGTGACTCTCGTTGTTGCCAGCGGTAAGTCTGCTCTGAACTCCTGGAGGGAATTACAGAAGGACCAAAAGTGGGTGATAGGAAAGAAAGATCCAGAAATTCTGGTTTGGAGAGAAGGTGAGGAGGGCAAACAAACAGTCGCAGCATGGTGAGGACAGACTGGAGCAAACACACTGTACCTTCCTTATTAGCATTTTGGGGCAAGGATTATAGGCCTGGGCATCAACTGTATTGCATGTGGGAGAGGAATGGGATAGGGAAAGTCCACAATGAGAACAGGAACCAGGTCCTGGGAAGACAGCATGCACCCTGGGGTGGTAGCTACTGTAGCTCCTGCTTCCATGAAGACTGGCAAGTCATTGCAGGAACACTACGTGCTCAGCATATTCACGTGGAAAGCACCTGTTTGTGCTGGAAAGTCACTGCTACCTAGGTGCATGCAGTGGCAGTCCTGCACCAATCTGTGTGAGAGCCTTCGTGCCCTCCGATGGGCACAGATGGGCTGTGAACTGTTCCTACTACTCTGCCTGACTGACTGAAAAAAAAAGACCCACCGAATGCTGCTCTCCCTAGGGACTGCAGTTGTCCAGCTGTGCAGCATCACCAGCCTTCTGAGGATACTCCATGACCCATGCATTACTGCCTGGTTTCACATTTCCTGAGGTGTGTTGGATGCTCTGTGGAACTTTTAGTCCAGAGACTGGAAGAGAGGGCTGTTGGAACATGGTTTAGTGGGTAGGAACAGACGTTCCCAGCTTTGCCCCAGCCAGCTCAGCTGTGGATGGAAGCTGTGTACTGTGCTGCTGGCAGGGCGAGTGGGGGTGCCATGCAGCAAACTGATTCCCCCTCATGAAACCCACACAGCTGATTCAGGTCCTGCGTGGGCTCTGCGCAACACTGCTTTCCTTTTGGTTTGGATGTGATCCTCCGTCGGTGACTTGTGCTTCTGCCATCAGTCACATGTGTGCCGTGCTCATGGGTCTCTGCTCTATTTCAGGGGCAGAGCTGAACGAAGGGAGCGGCCTGAGGAAGGTAAGAGGTTTCTGACTTTTTCCTTGTTCGTGGCTTGAGATGGATATGCCTGGTGTGCCTAGGAGAAAGACTATTCCCAGCAATCATCCACAGCCTCGTGGGTACTGGTGGGCACCAAACCCACATCAAAGCCCAGGCTGGGAGTCCCGCTGAGGGCTGTGGTGGCCTCTGCTGCCTCTGTGGGCATGCCCTGCCCCACTTGGGGCAGAGGGAACCATGTTTTCCGAGGCATTTGCTCCTGCCTGGGCACTGTGGGAGGAAGAGACGGGTCTTGCTGGCACTGAAATGTGTGCTGTGGTTTCTCCTTCCAAGCCGGTTTGTGCAGACATGGCTGACCTGCAGGCCTGCCCCCTCGTGTACTTGCCTATCTGTGGGACCGACGGGAATACCTATGCCAATGAATGCCAGCTCTGTGTGGAGCAAATGTAAGCTCATGCCCTTGGCAGAGACCTCCTGGGTCTAATTTAGGCTATCTGGGCGGTTGTGAAATGCTGTCAGTCATGCCTGGGAAAATCCATGTCAGACTGCACTTGCATGGCAAATAACACAAACTGTGTTGGGCTGCAAGGGGGGATGGATAACCAGCTTGTCAAGTGAAGCTGCAAGGAAGCTGAAGGAGCTGCACGCAGCCAGTCTGGGGAAGGGGAGGCCTGGGGGTATCTAGCAGCAACCTACAGTTGCAAATGGGATGGAGCCACTTCTTCTTGGTAGTAGCAAGTGGTGCAACATGGGGCAACAGCCACAAGCAGCAGGTCCAAGAGGATGAAAATTTGACACAGGGAAAACCTTTTTCCCAAGAGGGTGGTGCACCATGGAGGTGTGAGGAGGGCGTTCTCCCTCTGTTCTTGTAGGGTGGTGTTTAGGGCTCAGACAGAGCTAGGGTCACTATAATCTCACACGAGGGACAGCCCTGCTGTGAGCAGGCTGGGCTGGAGACCCACCACAAGTGTCACAGGCCCTGGCAGGGGGACATCTGTGAGCCAGGGTAACTTGCAGTCACCTCAGCTTTTTAGATGGGAAAATGAGTAAGCCTGTTTTGTAACAGTCAGTTCCATTCCCTCGGATGGAATGCAGCTGAAGTATGACTTGCAGAGTATTTTTTTATCTCTTACTCTTTTTTCCCATATTATTTTAGGAAAACCAGGCAAGACATCCGGATTCTGAAAGATGGGGAATGTCAAGATGCCTGAGCTTTCTGATAGCTTTCCTGAACCTAGAAGCAGGTGATTAATTGATCCTGTGTGCTCTGTGCTGATTGGACACTTATGTTAGCTATGGTAAATAATAAAAAATAACATGCACAATCTTATTTAAACAGCACTTTTTTATGCGAGGCTGAGGGAAAACACCACAAGCCGGTTCCCATAAAGGGCTGCTAAAAGTATAGTCAAAACATTAATTTCAAATCCACATCACAAAACAGGGTGTTCTGCACATTATCTCAGACATTCCTGTGAGAAAAGCCATGGAGGAGTAGCAAGAAAAACAAAGTCCTTGAGAAGACAGTACTGGACAAGTGCAGGGTTTTTTTGTAGAAGGAAATTTAGCAAAGAGAAGGTAAAGTTTCTTCAAGATGGAAGAAGATGTCTCCCTGGCTCACTAGTAAACTGCTTCACTGCTTCCAGAGCTGATGTAAATTGAAAATAGTAACACCTGCACTTCTCATATTAGATGTTATTCAGCTTTTTATCCAAAAACCTTTCACATAGCCATCAGCTTAGATGATACATGCAAAGAGCTTGTGTGGAGAAGCTGAACACGAGGTTTTACCTTTGTAATTTTAATCTTTAATATTTTACCCCAGATTTCTGCTCCAGCACTTGAGAGCAACCTTAAAACTGAACAAGTTTCAGGTCTTGGTTGCTCCTGGTGTCAGGGCCATCTTTGAGACTGTGGCAGGGCTCAGTCCCATCAGGGTAACAGTGTCAATGTGTATCAGCAGTCTCTGAGGCTCCCTCTGCGCTTTCATCTTCCACTCCTACCACATGGTCCACAACTCGCCTTTCATAAAATACTCGTAATGAGGCTGTACACCTTGGATGTGCAAGGGGCCCTCTTTGCTCATAGTGGCAGGTATCAGAGGGCACTGGCTAATCCAGTGAATGCCTCCTGAATTCAGTTCAGTCCTGCACAAGATGTTGTATTTCTACAGAACTACTGGCTGAGATTTCAGATCAGCTTTGAAGAGTGTTTCAGTGTGAACTGACACCCTCCAAGGATAGGTCTGTCCTCACGCACAGGAGATGATGCTTCTCTAACTTGCTACTATACTATACTTGTATACTATACGCCTCTTATTTGCAGGCATCTGAGTAAGAATATGGGGTGCATCCCATGGTCAAGTGAGCTCCCTGAAGTCAGTGACCATTCTGGAAGTCTGGGAGCTGCACCAGTGTCGTGGCTACTGTGCTTGGTCAGCTGGAATTCATCCCCTCACCCAGCTGTGCGCTTTGCTGGAGCCACCAGATGGGATGCCGCAGCACCATAATGCACAACAAAGCCATTGCTGACAGATTTAATGCTGCACCAGGAAATAGTATTGAGGAGCATAAACCAGACATGCTCAGTCAGATGGATTGCATCCGCCATTTTCTGTCCCAGAGGCAGCTGCTGTCATCAAAAGCTTTCTCTCCGTAAAAAGTTCTTTACCAGGCTGAAAAGTCCTAGCCTGGCTCAGGGTTTTTAAAAGCTTTGACTGTTCCTATTTTCCTTTTCTGGACCCTTTCCACTTCTGCAGAGGAGGAGACATAGCTTGCCCACCCATCCATGGCTGCTGCTATTACACCACCTGCTCATTTGCCCTGAGGTTCTGCAAGCCTGTTTTTCCCTTTTCCATCCTCGGATAGCAAGGGAGAGGTGCTCTGGCTGTGTGCTACTCTCTGAGTTGCCAGTTCTTCTCCGCAGACCTTGGTGTCCCCTGTACACCATAGGGAAGGGCTTTGGTGGGGTTATGACCCCCAAAACACTTCCACGGTGAACAACAGGAATGTACTGCTCACTTCTGTCCTGGGGTTTTCTGCTCCTGCTGCTGCCAACCCAGCCACAGGCAGGATGCATTTGAGCAGTTCTATCCCAGCTTTCTGCCAGCACTGAGGGTAAGGTTATGCCCAGCTTAGCATGGTGCATGACTGGGAGCCATTCTCCTCCTGGGATGGCTGGAGGTCACCAATATCTCAGCCCCACGCCGTGGCTCAAGCTGCACAGGCAGAGTGGCTGCAGCCCATCACTGCATATTCCCTGAGAGCCACATCTATTTATGTGCAGAGTCTTGGAAAAAACAACACAGGCAATCCAGAGGCTCTTCTGAAGAGGGAAACCACGTGCCTCCAGCACAACATGGAGTGTTTATTCAGAAACTGCAGAACTAAACACACACTTATAGGCCAGACCTGCAAGGTTGGAGCACGGGCAGCCACAGGACAGTGTGAGTGTTGACTCTACATAGCAAATTAAGAGGTACCAGTCTTCCCCAGGGACTGGTGGATTTGCCTGTTTATTTCACATGGCTCAAGAGCAAGCTGCAGACCAAGGGGAGGGGAGGGTGACGGGAGTGGTTTACCACCACCACAGACCTCAGGGCCTGTGCAAGACCAGCCTGGTGCAGAGAGCCTGACTCTGAAGACTGGCAGATTTGTGACTGGCAAGGTCAGGTGAGGCTCAGGAGGCAGCTGGTGGACACCAAAATGCCTGCAATGCCCTGATCTGTGCCAGAGGGTATGAATGTGGATTTGTGCTTTCGCATACAGTTTTGCCTGTTCAATTTATCCATGTTTCCCATCTTTTGATGCTTCAGTCAAGGCAGGAAGAGGAAGGGATTATCTGTTTTCACAAGCACCATAGTTTGTCACAGAGAGACTGGTAGTCCCGCTCTCAGAGAGGTATGTTCTAACCAGGCAAGTTGCCTCCAAATGTGCCTCAAGTCAGGGAGTGAAGGACAAGCCTGCAAGTTTGTCAGATAAAACTGGAAGTGCCCTGATACCATGCTAGGGTGGTGGTGCTGTATCTTCCCCAGCTGCCCATGTTGATCCTTCAGATAACCCTGGGCTCAGGGCTGCATCCATGACTGCAGGGAGGGATATTTGGGTCTCTGGATATTGCTTTGCAGTAGCATTGCCAGATAGGGGAAAGAGCGAGACACTCACAGTGGAGACTCATTGAGACCTTTGCCTCATATATAGATCCAAAGCCTGGTGTTGTCAGGTCTACAGTGACAGTTGTCCCACCAGTGCCAGGAGAGAGGCCCAGTGGCAGGATCCAGTCCTACGTCCAGTTGTCCCTTGGACAAAACTTTCTCAAGACTTTTGAAAGCTGTGTCAGGGACTGGCAATGGTGAGATGTCCCCAAGGTTGTGGGTGTTCCCCTACCAATCAGCCCCAGTGACACTTGAGGAGTCTGCGACACTGGAGATGCTCAGGTTGCTGAACACCCAGTTGAACTCTTCCAGGTTCTTGTTTAAAAACTGGGCATCAGTGGAGGTGGTCCAGGGCTAGATGAACTGAAATGTGGAGTGAAAGGGGAGGGAAGCAGTACCTGGCACACTGTAAAGTGTCCACTGCAACAGCTCATGCAACTGAGACTGGCCAGGAAGTTTAACCTAGTTGCACAGCTTCATTTGTAACAAAGGGGAGGCAGCTTTGGCCGCATCTGCTAGGGAGCTCTGATGAGGAAGACATCACTGCATTGCTGGTGCTGGTGGGGCACAGGGAGGCAGAGGGAGGCAGCACTGGCTATAAAATGAGCCCAGTGCCATTGTGGGTAAGACTCTGCCTCTCGGTACCTCTTCTTCAGAGCATAGATAACTCAAAACTAAGCAGTGGGGTCTGTAATTTCCATGTTTTTAACCATTTCCAAAGCCTTCCCATGGGATAATAAAATCACTTCCTTGGGATTTAAAGTAAGTCACACACAAGAGACAAATGTCTTACAGAGAGTTCATTCACTAGAGATGCAAGCACAAGCTCTGTAAGGTTTTAACGCTCATCTATTTTCCATTAAACACCTCTAAAGACTCTGGGGGCAGAGTGACTCTTTCTTGTACAAGTGCTCCCTTTAAGGTAGAAGATGGAGAATGAAGAAACATTCACAGTACCAGCTCTGCAGTATCATATGCAATGTTTTGCTGAGTCAAGAGTCACTTATCAGACCTCACCAGGCTTTGGGGTGACTGAGTAGAGGATGGGTGTGAGAGGCTGAGTTAGCCACGGTCTGAGCATGCACCCAGTTCCCATGGAGCACTGAAACACACAGGGATTTCCACCCTTTCTTACATGTTTCATATCACCTGCAAGCAGCCCAAAATACAGAGTCATAGAATCATTTAGTTTGGAAAAGACCCTTAAGATCATGAAATCCAACCACTAACCCAGCACTGCCATGCCCAGCACTAAACCATGTCCCTAAGCACCACATCTACATGTCTTTTAAATACCTCCAGGGATGCTGAGTCCACCACTGCCCTGGGCAGCCTGTTCCAGTGTCTAACAGCCCTTTCAGGGAAGAACTTTCACCTGATACCTAACCTAAACCTCCCGCAGAGCAATGCGGGGTCATTTCCTCTTGTTATATCACTTGTTACTTGGGAGAAGAGATGGCCCCCCACCTGTCTAAAATCTACTTTCAGGTAACTGTACAGAGCAATAAGTTCTCCCCTCAGGTTCCTTTTCATCAAGCTAAACACCCACAGCTCCCTCAGCCTTACAGGACTTATTTTCTAGACCCTTTAGCAGCGTCATTGCTCTTCTTTGAAGAGCACCACAATTTTTGAAGAGCATCACAATTTTTGAAGAGCACTCCAGCACCACAGTTTCTACACCTGGGACATAAGAACCCTGGCTGTGTGTATAGACTGGGGAATGAGAGGCTGGAGAGCAGCGCTGTGGAAAGGGACCCAGGGGTCCTGGACAGTGGCAAGTTGAATGTGAGTCAGCAGTGCCCTGGCAGCCAGGAGGGCCAACCCTGTCCTGGGGGGCAGCAGGCAAAGCATCCCCAGCTGGTCCAGGGAGGGGATTGTCCCGCTCTGCTCTGACCTGGGGTGGCCTCACATTGAGTATTGTGTGCAGTTTGGGCATCACAATGTAAGAAAGATATTGAGCTATTAGAGAGTTTAAAGGCCCCTTAAAGGAGGGCCACGAGGATGATGAAGGGTGTGGAGGGGAAGCTGTATGAGGAGTGGCTGAGGTCACTTGGTTTGTTCAGCCTGGAGAAGAGAAGACTGAGGGGGAGACCTCATTGAGGTCTTCAGCATCCTCATGAGGAGAAGTGGAGGGCCAGGTACAGATATCTTCACTCTTGTGACCAGTGACAGGACTT